GTCCTCAAGAACACTATAAACAAAATTGCTCCCTGGCAGTCACACCTTCCTGCGGTCTCTGTGCAACCCCTGGCTCACAATTTCCTTTATCACATCTCCCAGTAGTGGGTATCATCCAATGCAATGAAAAGAATACGAAAAACAACAAAACACGGAAGGAAAACTCTTGAAAAGGAAAAGAAACTTTCAAAAACTAGGCGTCTGAATTTAGGGTTACGGTAGCGTGCATCTTTTAGTGTAGTGTGGTGCGTCGAGCTTTTGCACCACGAAAATTGGGTCGCTCGTGATTTTTACGCGTTTTACCTTGCAAGATGGGTTGGAGTTGACTGTATGTGCTCCTAATAAATAAAATGTAATAAAGGAGAGCAGAACCATTCATGGGCACGAGCGCGGTCAGCAAAAAGGGCATGCAATTCCGATTAATGCCCGCCGCCCCAACAAAGAACAACTGAGCGGCCTCTCCGTCAGAGGGACATTTAGCACGGCCCTCCGTCAGAGGGCATCTAGCAAGTGGGCGGTCCAACTGGGCGGGCGTTAGAACTAGAACTTTCAGCAGCTGTAGCTCGCTCCTCGCTCGCTGTGGAGTCGCGAGAGTGGGATAGTCTCTAGCTTGGGGGCTGTACTACTTGCACAAGGAAGGACGACCATGTACTACTCGAGCGCGGGGCTGTCTTTGAACTCGAGTTATCGAGATTATTTTGGCATCTGCAGCTATCATGCTGGCGTCAGGGTGGTGGAAGAAAGAGTTTGAGGAAGCGTCTGGAGGGGTCGGTGCCGATGGTAGCGGATAAAATCCTTGTCCATATTGCAGAAGAAGAAGCAGGAGTCAAGCGAGTGGTACTAATAGAAAGACCACTCCTTGATGTATAAGTGCTCACATTACCGGTTACCCTCTCCAGGTAATGGGCAAGTATTTGAGTTCGAAAAAGTGTGACAGAACTTTTCGCCAACCTAATACAAGTCAGTGATTTACCATCTCGGAGGATCTGGTACCCAGTTACCGTTTTCGAGAGGTGGAATTTCATGTTGGCATGGGCGAACCGGTCTGAGATTTAGCCACTGAGCCGTGCCTTGCAAACTACACCATCTACGCTTCACCTGTGGCATAGCCAAAGTAACTAGAAATGAGAAATCCAGTTTATAAGCTGCATGAGACGTCGACATAGGGGGCGAATTACACAGGGCTCAACTTGGAAGCAAATCTCCTTCACCCTTCGAATTTCATGAAAAAAATGGGCTTTCTTAGACGGGCCAGCTGCGAATGACTTGTGTACATCGAACCTCAGAGTTCGAGACGGTTTTTATCTTCTTTCAGGTACCTGCGCGCTGTATTATCGGCGAAGAAGGTCGTGGATTTTTCTACCAGATGCTGCAATTTCAAGATGAGCGACTGGTAGCGGCTGCGGTCTGTAAGGACTAGAATTTTCAAAGTAGCGCAGACCCATTCCGGGAAAAAAGTCAAAGTTTTTCAGTGCTGGAGCCCCTCCAACGATGTATCGCTCTCACCGCAAAGTATGCCTCAGAACGAAAGCTTTTTGGCAGTACAGTCCTCGACCAAGCAGGTGAGCACCCTTTCTCACGAGCATAAACGAACTCTCATGATTGTGAATGCTGCACGCTTGTCTTACCAGCTTCAGTGACCACTAATCTCTGGGTCTCTTGAACCCAATCAGTCAGATGGAACAAAAATAAATAACGGAAAGAAAATAGAAAATTGTGGAATTCTGAACGGAATGATATTGTGGCGATTTTGAAGGGAAGGAGAAAAGTAGAGGCAATTCTTGCCATAATACATTCTTCGACGTAAAG